CGCCGCCCTGCCCCTCCTTCCTGCAGCCGCCTCACCTGCTGTGTGACCCCGGCCCGTGACCCAGCCTCTCGGGACTCAGTCCCACCCCGGGTCCCAGCGCGCAAAGTGTAAGAGCAGCCGGGAGGGCCTCCCACCGGGCAGGCTCCGTATTGAATAGTATTTTTGCTATAACTTTACTAACATTTAGCTTCTGTTCTATTTTAGGCAAAATTTAAGATTTTTCACGGGTCCTAAAAGTTTCGTGTTTTTTTTAATGTGAGAAATAAAACACGGGCCCTGGCCGGGTACTCGGTTAGCGCGCATGTTATGGGGTGGGGCCACAACGTTAGTAACAAAGAAACAGAATTTCCGGAGGATGAGGCCCAGAAATCAGGATTTTAAAAAGATTCCCAGGTGATTCTAATGTGCAGTCAAGGTTGAGAACCACTGTATTAGAGAAAAAAATTGTTGACCTTAAAAATAAAACAATTCGCCGTGAAAATGGGTTTACTCCGGACAAGCAAGCTATAGCAAAAGCCATGGGGCGTCCAACGGACACAGGAGAGGAATCGCATTTTATGGAGAAAAAGGAGGGAGTTAGGAGGGATTTTTTTTGCACAAAAGTCCCTGGGGGAAAGGAGAGAGCGCGCGGCTCGTCACTGGCTGAGTTGTTGGGTGGACGGTTTCTGTTCTTTATTTTCTCCCCCACCCCCCGCAGGCCTGCATGGGAGGTTGGTTGGGAAGATGCCAGGCGCATCTTTCCTGCTGGACCAGTGATTGAGGATTCTTTCCGGTTGACGAGTCCTCCTGTGATTGACACGCGTGTCCGGGGTGAGAGCGCCCCCTCCTGGCCTCCAGGCCACATTTTAGTAAGGCTCCTTTTCATTATTCTCAGTCCCAACACAATGGTTCCACTCCTGAAACTAGAACGAAAAAGGCAAATCAAACCCAAAGTAGGCGAATCAAGAAATGATAAAAGAGAGCACAAATAATCAATAAAACAAAGACAGTAGAGAAGCCCTGACTGGTTTCTTAGTGGTTAGAGCACCGCCTGTTGATCAAAGGGTCAAGGGCACGTACCTGGGTTGCAGGTGTGATCCCAGGCCCTGGTCCGGGCACGTGCGGGAGGCAACCAATCAGGGTGTCTCTCTCACATACATGTTTCTCTCTCTCTCTCTCTCTCTCTCTCTCCTCCCCCTCCCCCTCTTCCTTCTCCTCCCTTTCCCCCTCCCTCCATCCTTGTACTCTCTAAAAAATAAATGAAAAAATTAACCTCAGGTGAGGATTAACAAAAAACAACCAACCAACCGACAAACAACAAAAACACAGTCAAGAAGATCAATCAAACCAAAAGCTGATTCTCTGAGAATATGGTCAGGTCTTTAACCCCCGCGCCAGGTTGATGGGAAAGAAGAGACGCAACAAATTGCCAGCATCGGGGACGAGAAAGGACAGCGTGACAGGTCACCCCGACGTGCTGAGCGTCAGGGACACTGTTAGCCGCACCCCGATCGGCACTGCGCCGGGTGACGGCAGAGCCCTGCAGAGACAGAGCTGGCAGTGCTCACCGAGGAGGATCAGGTGGGCGGACGGGCGGGGCCGGGAGCCCGCGCAGCGCTGACGCCCGCATTAACCCTGATCAGTGGTCTCGTTCTTTTCCCAACACGAACTGTAAGCCTGCCTTTGCCCACCTGTATATGAACTGATTATCCCTCTGTCTTTTTAAGACTGAAATTGTGTTTTAAAATCTTCCCACGAAGAACACGCCAGTGAATCTACAAAACACTTTAAAAAAGGGTGATAGCGATTCCATACAGTCCCATCCAGCCGCTGAGGAGACCAATAGCACCCCGACGCCTAAGCCAGACGGACGTTCCCGGAGCAGCACGGGCAGACCAGCACCCTCATGTGCACAGCCGCCAACATTAAAACAGCCCGGCCGGCGCGGCTCCGGGTGGGCGTCGACCCAGGACGCAGAAGGTCAGGGTTCGATTCCTGGTCAGGGCACATGCCCAGGTTGCGGGCTCCATTCCCAGGAGGCAGCCGATCCATGATTCTCTCTCATCATGGATGTCTCTCTCTCTCTCCCTTCCTCTCTGAAATCAATAAAAATATATTTTTTGAAAAAAGCAAAAGAAAGTGACCCCATGGCCAGCCTCTCCGTCCAGTCACCGACCAGAGGAGCCCGTTCCTCACTGTGAGATGGGACCTGGTCAGAGTCAGGGTTGGGTTCAGGTTGGGTCTAGGCTGGTGAAGGGGGGGGGCTGCCCAGGGGGGTCACAGACCCCAGCCAGGAGGGTGGAGGTGGGATGGGGACCCTGGGAGGCTGGAGGGTGGAGGGCTGTGATGGGCTGGGAGCCATGCCTGTTCTTGCACTTGAAGTTGCCCCTGGAAGGTCACCCTGCAGCCTGTGGCCTTCAGCCTGGAGTCCTGCCAGGCCATAGACGGCGCTCTACCCACAGGGACGGCTGGTCCTCCCTGGAGTGTGCAGGTGCCTCCTGAGGCCCACGTGGCTGCCCCTGCTCCTATAGCAACCACACTCTGTGGATGGAGCACGCCCTCTGTCCGTCTGTCCGTTCTGTAGCCCTGAGGGGGCTCCCCGTGAGAGGACCAGGCAGTGGGCCCAAAACCCAGACAGCGAACCCAGAACCAGGCAGCAGGCCCAGAACCAGGCAATAGGCCCAGAACCCAGGCTGCAGGCCCAGAACCCAGGCTGCAGGCCCAGAACCCAGGCAGCAGGTCCAGAACCAGGCAGCAAGCCCAGAACCCAGGCAGCAGGCCCAGAACCCAGGCAGCGAGCCCAGAGCCAGGCCCCCAGAGGCTGTGGTCTTTCTTGGCACACAGCTCCCCTCCACCCCACCCCCCCTCCATCCAGGCTGAGGTGGCCAATGGGGCTGCAGGCTCACCTGCGGGGACTGACCCAAATAACGGGCTCACCTTGGCCCCGGCGAGGCCGTCAATGTCGGCACAGCTCTAGGCGCAGCAGAGCTGGGGGTCCCAGGACGTTCCCGGTGAGGGTGTGTGTGAGGGGTGGCCCCTCCTCCCTGAACCCCTGTGGGAGGGCCTGCCTTCCCTCTGCCCTGTGCTCTGCCCTCGGCCTCCCAGGAGCGCCCCTTCTCTTCTGGGGGTTAGAGCCGGTGCCTGGGGAGGGCCCTGCCCCTCTGAGGATAGGGGGTGACGGTGGCATTTCAAGTGCAGCCATGCGTGGCCCGGGCCTTGAGGCCCTGTGTGGCCTCCCCCACCCCTGGAACAGCACAGACAATCACACGGGGTTTCAAGCATTTATTCCGATGGAGTTTTGAGTAGAAAAATTAATGGGAACCAAGCAGAATGACGAGAAGTCAGAGGGGCCCGAATGCCCTCCCCGGCCCGGGCCCTGGGCTCTCATGGTGGGAGGGCGGCGCTCCTGCCGCAGGACCTGGCCCGGACCCTCTGAGGAAGCTGCCAGCCCAGGCCCGGACCCCGTCACGGCTGGGGGCGTGGGAGCGCCTGGGAACGGAAGGGGGGCCGGCCCGCGGCTCACAGGCTGCT